CGAATCCTTGGCGGGCCGAGCCCCGTCCTCGCCAGCTCGGGCCTTGGGCGTAGCAGGAGAAACTCGGAGCTGGGGCCGGGAGAAGGGCAGGTCCCTGGGGAGCAGAGGGGGAGGGTGAGGACAGGGCGCAGGAGGGCGGCAGAGCGGGTGGCTGGGGTGGGCGCACCTGTCCTTCTCCTCCTTGGCGATGGAGGGCTCCCTGCGCTCCACAGGCCGCTCCTTGTCCGAGCCTGGTGTCCGCGAGGCCTCAGGGGGCCGGACCCAGGCAGGGAAGGCCAGGGGACTGCGGTGCAGGCGGCCCCACGGGTCTGGGGGGGAGGCGAAGGCTGGTGGGGCCCCAGGGCTTTCTTTCTGGGCAAAAACGGCGCCCGAGTCTGGGCAGAGAGAACAGGGAAAGTGACAGGGCCAGGGGACAGGAGGCCCTGCCCAAGCACAGGACCCCAGCGCTGCAGCCCATACCGCACCCCTTGCACTCACTGAATGTGGGGCTGCCCAGGCCTCCAAAGGCCCCGTTGGAGAGGGCAGCCAAGGAGGCGAAACTTGTGGGACGCCCAAAGGGATCTGCAGAGAAAAGGGCAACAGTCAAAAGCCAGAGCTCTGAACAGGCACGGGCAGGTTGGGTCAGCCAGCGGCCCCTGGCCGAGCCGCTTGGTTTCAACAGGTATGCGTGGCATGGCGTGGCGTCCCCACCAGGCTGGGCAACCACTGCGCTTCACCTCGCTCAGCCAGGAGGCAGACGGCCACACCCACTCCAGACAGTGAAGGCACAGGCTCAGAGGAGTGAATGGCTTCCCACAGGCCACCAGCTGTGCCTGCCAGATGACCGGCACAGATCCTCCCTGTGCAAGTCACATGGCCTCCATGTGGCCTCCTGGAGGCCAAGTCCAACTTCTTGTCCCACACGACAGGCTGAGCGGCCCAAGCAGCTCATGGCGCTGCTTAAGGCCAGGGCCCCACGCTCCCCGTCCTTCCCACCTCAAACTATGCTACCCACTGGTGGGTATCGCTGTGGCCTCCCCTACTCATTATGGCTCAGAGCGGGTAAGCAACTTGCCCAAGGCCACCGAGCAAATGCAAGCCGGTCTAGGCCATGCTGTCCTGTGGGTCTGCCTTCCCACTCCCAGCTCAAGAGCGCCTGGCAGGCAGAGACAGGCCTGGATGCCCAATGCATCCTTGGCTCTTACCAATGTGGGTGCTGGGGCTCAGGAAGGGTCCGTGGGCCCCGGGAGCTGCTGTGAAAGGGTTAGCTGCAGCATGGATGGCACCTGGGACAGAGAGGTGAGAGATTCTGAGGCTGAGTGGGCACAAGGTGGGCCTTCGGTATGATGGGCACCGACGGCCCTGAGGGCTGGCTAGACTCACCAGTCGCAGTGAAGAGGGAGGCTGGGTGGGAGAGCTCCTGCCCAGGGGGCAGGGCCCCATAGGGCCCCGGAAGGCAGGGCAGGAGGTCATTCCGAAAGTCAAGCTTGTGGGAATCACCCTGCATGCGACACAGGGAGGGGGCAGTGAGGAGTCAGGTCTGGTTCTTTTTTTTTCTTTCTTTCCGTTTTTTCTGCATCTCTTTCTTAGGTCCCTGTTCTTATCTCCCACCCCTGCTCCACTCCAAGGGCTGGCTGCCACTAAGACGGTGCTGGGCTGCCTTCCTGTCTCCAGAGAATTCTCTGATCACTCCTCCATCTGCCCAGAGAGCACAGGTGCTGGCTGTGGACCAGCTCTGGAGAATGCATCTGCCTGAGCTGCTGAACCCTACTGAATGAAGGGAGACCCCGACACTAGGCCAGCCAGTCTCAGACCCACACTCCCAAGCCCTCAGCCACAGTACCTTTATCTTTTCCTGGTGTCTCAGGATCATGTAAGCCAAGCGCACATGCATGGCACACCATTTCCCTGGCTTCTGCTGATCCAGAAGGGTGACCAAAGGCAATGGGAGGAAAGAACAGTGACACGTCACTCACCCTGGGGCCAGCCTTGCCATTCAATGTCCCCACTCATCAAAGCCTAGGAAACTGAGGCTCAGAGAGAGAACTGTCTTGCCCAAGGTCCCATGGCCAGTTATGCTGAGCCCTGGGCCGAGATCGAAAGACTCTTGAGTTTCTACTGTCTCACATATGCTGCCTCCATACCTCAGTTTCTTGCCCTTTCCCACGCAGGACCCGACCCCAACAACACTGCAGCAACACCGATACCAGCCCCCAGCCTCCTGTGGCCTAAGGTCCTCATCAAACTCACCCTCAAAGGTGGCCGGAAATGATCGGGAATCTGGGAATGGCAAAGGAGAGAGAGCAGGCAACTCAGACCTGTTTCCTGCCCTTGGTGTCTCATCTCCACAGCAGGCATGCACACCTGACATTTGCCGAGACCCATCTTGCCTACGTCACTTCTCTCCCACTTCTCCCACTCTAGGTCTTACCTCCAACACCAGGCCCCTAGGAAGTGTCCTACTGGGAGGGCCGGGGGGGGGGGCTGGGGCAGGCAGGACAGCGTTCTCCACTGGAGAGGCTACCCTATTACCAAGTTTATGTAACAGGGGCCCACTTGAGATTTCTTTAGGGAAAAACATCTTTTAAGGACAATGAAAAACCTTTGGACTAGTCTACTCTCTTGCAAACATGTCCCATGTTTCTCACAATATTCAAGAGTCCTGGCTGCTACGTGTACAAGGGAGGCGCTGGTTCTTTTTTTTTTTTTGGCACTGGGGATCGAACTCAGGTCCTTGTGCTTGCTAGGGAGGCGCCGGAATCACGGAGCTAAATCCCCAGCCCTGCTACGTGTACAAATGAGGAAGAAAGGCTCTGGCTCCCCTGCCACTTCACAAAGAAGCTCATCTTTTAATTGTTTTGTTTTGATTGCTACCAGAGATCGAACTCGGGCAGAACCATTGGACTAAATCCCTGGCCCTTTTAATTGTTTTATAGCCAAGGTTTCCTGGTTATGATGTCACTTGGAGAAAAAAAAAAAAAAAGTTCTGTTACTTAAATTTGAAAACCCCTACAAAAACCACTATCCCTGGGCTAGAGGTACCCAACTCAGTGGTAGAGCACATATTTACATGAGCAGGGCCCTGGGTGTGGTCCCCGGGGCACTACAAATGCAAAGCCACTACTGTAACAACCACCTTACTCCTTGGACAACCTCAATAAAATTCCTACTCATGCCTGGGAAATGCTTTTGCAGAAACCCTCTAGAGATCTCTAGATACCCAGGGACACTCCTGACCATGGATTAAAGGGAGAAGAAACCAATGGTCACTTTCTCTAACTCAACCCTTCTCTTCCCTGCTTCCAGATCCCCCAGGACCTGCACTGGCCCCTCACCTGTGTCCCCTTCTGGGGGAGCCCGCTCGACACTGGCCCCAGTCGTGGTGGCGGCTCAGGGTTCGTGGTCTGGGAAAGGGGAGTGGAGGGGTCAGACAGAAGAGCTGGCATCAAACATAAAGGGGCCTAAAACCAAGCTAGGGGAAAGCAACTAAGATGGGACAGGAGAAGGAGCATGGCTTTGCAAAAAGCTGGGTCCAGAAGGGAGGGCAGGAGGTTTGGGGGAACAGGAAGCGGAGCCAGGGTATCTAGGTTTGTAAAGGGCAGGAGACAGTGGTGTCACTGGGATTAGGAGCTCACCTTGGGCTGGAAGGCCCCCTGCAGGGAGCCAAAGGAGACAGCGGGTGGGAGGCCGGGCGGGAGCCCCGGCACTGTGGGAGGGAAGGCAGCATACGGCTGTGGAAAGAAGGGGACTAGTCCAAGCAGGGGGTGGAGGTGCTGCCCCTCAGTCCTCAGGCCTCCACCCTAAACCTCCAGGGTGCTCTCCCAGGCTCAAGACTCTTGTTTTCTAAGACCAGGGCCGCATGTGCACGCACGCACGCACGCACGCACACACACACACACACACACACACACACACACACACTCACATTATGTCGGAAAAGGCCTTCCATCTTTCCTGGGTATTTCTCAAACTAGGGAAGAGAAGGGAAGAGTAAATGCCAACTGGGGACCCCGGGCCTCCCCTGGAGCCACTCTCCAACCCCCGCCAAGGCAGAGCTCACCATGTGGGGGCCGTGGGGCGGCAGCAGGCCCGGGGGGTAAGGGGTGAAGTGCTGGTGGGTGTGCTGGTGGGTGTGCTGGTGCTGGTGGTTGTGCTGGTGGAACTGGAAGGCCAGGGGCCGGGCCGAGCCCCCTGCCCCCACCACCTCAGGGCCACCCTGGGCATTCAGGTATCGGGAGTTCAGGTCCTGGCCGATCAGGTCCTGCTCTGTGGGAGGGGAGGGAGAAGGCTTTTAGATCTGTCTACACCGTGTCCAACTCCCTGACCCCAGGCAACTGGCTTTCCCTCCTCAAGCTGGGCTGTCTGCTGCGGCCTGGGTCCCTCAACTCAGGGTCATGGCTCCCCCCACCCCCCCACCCCAAACTCACCAGAGAGGGCGTTAGCAGC